GCTGAATACAAAGAGAATAGTAAAATCCCAGACCTTTGGGTTCCATGCTGTTACCTGAAAATTACCATGGGACTTCCTAATAAAGGGCTTGTATAGTAACTCCAGAAATATTATCCACATTTCTTAGTCCTTAAAAATGAAAATATAATGTAAGATGGAACAGGAGCAAGGTGATACCCCCTCCATTCTTATATTCTGATCTTCATTTCATTTTGTTTCACTGGCTTCCTTCAATTTACCTACCTTTTCCAGTGAGCTTTCTGACCAATACCTTGGCTGTTGATGTAAAAGTAGGGTTTGCTAAAGGTGGATCAACACACATAGGGCAAAGGAGAAGATCTTGCATACAAACTGGGAAAACTCATTGAGAACCCTGTGGAGGACTTGGGGGTTCTGGTGGGCGAAAAACTGGACATGACCCAGCAATGTGTGCTCCCAGCCCAGAAAGCCAAATGTCACCTGGGCTGCATCCAAAGCAGAGTGGCCAGCAGGGCAAGGGAGGGGATTCAGCCCCTCTGCTGTGCTCTGGTGAGACCCCACCTGCAGGGCTGTGCACAGCTCTTGGGTGGACTACTCCAGAGAAACCTGTTTGCTGTGGGTTTATTGCCCAGGCATCCAATACCTTCCTGCATGAAGAAACTGTAATTTGTGAAAGTGGATGATTTGGTAAAGGCCTGCCACTAACACCAGGACCTTAAGGCCCACATGGTTATGGTTTTGGTTTTGCATTTATTGTAATTGCTGAGTGAGCTGATCTTTGCATGAAGGTGTTTTCCCTGTTTTGTTATAGCAAGAATTAAAGAGATAATGACCCAAGGGTCTTTGTACCAGGTTAAAAAGTTTCAATTTCTGCTTTTTAAATACTGTTCTTGAGCCTGTCAGACCCTGGTGCTTGTTTCCATCAGCCATGCTCTTCTGCCTTGACACATCAGAGATCTTTCATTAAGGACTAATTACTTTTTGAACTTGATAAGAGGATAACAGCCACTTTACAGTGAAAATAAAAAGGAACTAAAATAAAGCCTTTGTTTCTGAGCTGGGTTCCTAGCTCATCTCTATCCTTCCATCTAAAATGGTCCCACACAAGGCTTCAGCTTTGAGCGGGTGACAGATGTGTCCTGGTGACAAGTCTGGATCAGCCTCTCTTCTGCTCCCTTAACAATGACTTTTCACTCTTCTCCCTCAGCAGCCATGCCACTTTCTGTCATTCAGCAGTCAGCCTCTCCCACCAGCAGGATGGGATGCCTGGATTCATCTCCACTTAAGACAATTGACAGAAGAGCCTTAATTAGGTGCAGAGTCCCCATAGGCTGCCTTGCCAGTCAAGAATATTCTATAGGCATCTTCAAAGAGGAAGGGAGGTTGCAGATGGTTTGATCATTCTCTGGAGATGCAGGTGACCTCCAAAGGAGCCTTCAGTGCTGAGAGCAGGTGTGTAGCTACACCAGCCTTCTTCACTTGGCATCACTTCCTGCAAGCACCCAGATTGCAAGGGATGAGTCCAGGTACATGCTCCCGGTGCTCCACTGATTTGAGGCATCCATCTCTTTTCCTCATTGGTCCTCGCAGCATGATGCTGATTTCTAGATGCAGGAATACTGTACTTCAGCAATGGATAATTCCATCTGATGAGATGGGAATTACATGTCACCCCTCTTCCTGATGGTGTGCTTTTCGGATGCTGCTGATACTCTGAGCCCATTACAGCATAAAAAAGGAAACTAAGGGTTCCATGCTGGAATGACATTCACTTGTTTTCTTACAGCACCTGCTAAATTAGAGGCTGTATTCCTGCTAGTGTGATAAGCAATATTCAGCCTGTCAAAATATAAGAAACAAACATTTCTTTTTTTCTGTTTTCAATTCTCCCAAGCTGTAACTCATCTTCTCCAGCTCCCTTCAGCTGTTAGAAGAGGGTTAAACAACCTCACTAGGAAGCAGAGAACTTTATCATAGCTAAAGAGGATTAGTGCATGCATAATCCCCTTACAAAGCCACTTGCCTTCCAACTCCAGTGTGTAAAAATAAAAAAAAGGATTGGATCAATGTTATTTTTCTTACATCTAATTCAAGAACAATAGAGCACATTAAGTAATTAAAATGTTCACCTGTAAGGTGCTTAAAAGCAAGGCTGCTGGCAGATATATAATTAGCTCCAGTTAGCTGCTTGCTTGTTTACTTCCGTTAATTTACCCAGAGTGGGGTCTTTGGGCTTGGAGCATTATTTAGAAAATATTTTATTATTGAATGAAGCAGTGCTGTGGATAGGCAGGGACCAAAGATAGAAAACCAGAAATTAGATAATTTACTGAGCCAACATACATGCTAATATAGGATATTTCAGGCTCTCCTTGTTATGCCATCTTCAGCTACTGGCAATTTATCTTCTGTCAGAACTACAGCTCTTAACAGGTTGGGTAAAATCACCCCAAATGTTACTAATTTTCTTGTGTTGTCTTTTTTCTGCAGAGGACCCAGTCTGTTCTGCTTGTCTCTGCACATGACATGCAAAACAGCAGGCTTTCAGCTTTCTTTAGAGGAAGGATGACTTAGAAAGATGCAGAGCTGTGCATTCCCAGACCATGACAGCATTCTGAAAACAAGTAACATATCAGGACTACTATCTGTACCATTTTTGTGGATGCCTGTGAAGGGGTGAAGAGCAGGATTTTTGCCTGGTTTCCCATGTTACCTCTGGCCAGACTCCTGACTGCCCAAAAGCCAGGGGCTGTGGGTTGACAGACTACAGCAGGACAGACAGACAGACACAGACCTTAGCGTATGGGAGAGGAGAGAATGGCAGGCTGCAGCTCCCTTGCCATGAGCTATTGCTGCCCATGGGTCACAACAAGTAATTTTGCATGGTTTTTATAAAATGTCTTGGAAAAATCTGGCAGCACTGGGAAAACAAACCTTGGGAATGATTTGCAGTTATTTGTTGTTTGTCCATGTGAAGGGGTGACTCTGCAGAAGAGCCCACAAACAGTGTTTGTGATCTGAGTAAGACATATGGGAGACTGGAAGACCATGACTGACACCAGGGAGGAGGGGGAAATAATATTATACTGATGTTGTGTGAGCACTGTAGAGGAAGAGAGTCTTTAAAGTGTGAAACCTCCAGCACTGGAAAAGATAAGCAGTGCCTGCAGAAGTCAGCTTGTGGGATCTGTGTCTCTTGCTAAGCTGCCTTTGAAGATTGAGGGGCTGTTTTGCTTTCAATCCCCCCAGGGAAGTTTTCCCTCCTTTCTAGTCTTGCCATTGATCTGAGCTACACTCCCAGATCTGTAGGTGACTCTACTCCTGTGGCAGGCTCTGATAAAGCCCAGTGGTTTTTTGAACAATATAAATGATTGTACTTCACCTCCCTGTAGATCTTGAGTTCACCAGCCACAGGAGACTGAACCTGTCAGCAAATGAGCCCTTCACGGCTTCTGCTTTCTTAGTGAAGTGTTGGTTTCATGGCTCCTGACAAGTTCATCTCGATATAAAAATGTGAGCAAGTTGACTCTTCCCCCTCCCTTTTTCCTTTTCCTGTGGAAAACTTTTCTTTGCTGTCCTGTATTTACTCTCTTGCTCAGGGATCAAGGACTAAACATGTGCCTGCCAGCTCCCCTGCTGATTCCAGGGCTCCACCTTCCCTCCAGGGACTGCATGTACTTTAAGAAATTGGTTGATGTTGAAGTGGCCTTGGACAGACTAAAAATCTGGAGAAGCTCCTCCATCACAGAATCATAGAATATTCTGAGTTGGAAGTGACACACAAGGATCATCCGGTCCAACTCTTAGGTGAATCACAGCCTGCTTCAGCCTTTCCAGCTGTCAGCAAGCAGGAACCAGATGTGGACAGCTGCTGATCCAGTACAAGGCCACCAAGGCCAGGGCAGTTTTATTGAAGGTGAATCCATCCATCCATCCATGTGAATTTTAAGGCCAAGTTACTCAGGTTACCTATTTATACCCACAACTGACTAGCTTTGATTCAAAGGATGAACTAGAGGATGTACTATCCTGGAGATGCTCTCTTTTAAATCTGTTTCTCACTGTGGGGCAGAAGTTGCTTAACGCAAGGTTGTCATTTGGTGCCTGTGACACTTGACTGGTGCCACAGCTCGATATCTCCAGCAACATCAGACCTACCAGCTCAACAGGGATGACATCTCATCTCAGCTCCCCCAGCCTACAGCCACACAAACACCTTTCCTTGCAGAGCAGCTGCTGCCTTCCTGAGTGGGCCCAGCCAGAGTCATGCCTGGAAAGCTTGGGACCTCTTGTCCTGCTCTGCTCTGGAGCTTTCACACCCCTAGCACTGCAGGATGTCACAGCCCACCTGCTGCTCCTGCTCTCAGCTGGCAGCCAGGCACATGTACAAGGCCTTGAAACAACTAGAGCAACATGCACGGGGTGGAAAGAGGACAAATCCCAGAGAGATTGTTTCCCCCTTCTTTTCTATCCCTTAATCTTTTCTCTGGCAGCCTGTGTTTGACTGATAGTAGTCCACATCAGCATGCCCTGAGTATCTCCAGCTGTTCCTTGACAAATGATGAAGAAAGTGGCAGAGCTCAACTCTCATCAAAGAGAGCCCTGGTCTCTGGGCTTCCCCACAGGGCATGGAGGCAGCAAGTGGCACACTCAGCCACTGTCCCATGCAGACATCCTCTCTCCAGCCTGCACACTCAGCTCCACATCAGCAATGGGAAGTCCTACCAGGGAGCCCCAAACCAGGCTTGAATGGGAGGCTGCAGGAGTGAAACAGGCTCTTGTCACCAAGCAACAGAGCTGGCTACCTCAGGGGGGACAGAGGTGCTGTGTGTGCAAGAGCAGGCCAAGAAACCAGCCAGCTCCATCAGAAACACCTCTAGGAACAGCTGGGTCAGAGCAGGAACTTGAAGCCACATCTCTAAATTAGAAACTATAGACCCTGAGAGACTGACTTGGAAATGGGACAAAAGGTAGCAATTGTGTTTGTTTGCCTCGCCCTCTGACTTCATCCTTCCTGTTTCAGATGGGTCACCCTGACTTCATTTTCAGACTTCGTGGAACCACGATGAAGTCTGGATAAGTAAGAGCACTGAGGGCTTTCCTGGTAGGTTTGCAAATGCATTTGGGCTTGGATTCGATGGGGTGGAAAATATCTTCAACTGTATTTCTTTCCCCTGGTCCTGGAGTATGGTGTTTCATTTACAAATCTTTCAGGCTGCTGGCAGGTTGCAGTGGTGTGACCAAAAGGGCCAGTACAGGAGTGCATGGGGCTGTGGCTGGAGAAATCTGATGTGGGGTTTTCCAGTTAAGCTAAATCTCTTCCTCCCCAGCAGGGTTAAAGTTAACTCAGCTGTGCAAACTCATTTATATTCAGCCACACGTTGCTATAAATGGTACTTTTTGTTCCTGACAAATATGAATATAGTATTTGCTCTGAAAACTCACCATTTCTCATGAAAAATCTTTCCCCCTTCCCATTTGTCTCCAAGATGTTGAATTTTACTTGGCAGATGGACAGTGCAGGAGGGTGGCCATGCTGCGTGGGAAAGACTGAGTGCTGGGGATACGGGGCATCCTCTTTTCTTCTGAACTCTTGTGCAAGTTTTACTCATTTAATATGGTGAAATGCAAATGGCAAAAAAAAAAAAAAAAAAAAAAAAAAGTGTTCTTCCACACTGTTGAGGACAAAGGGAAGATATCTTCCAGTGAGGGGATGGACAGAATAGCAGGTGATGCAGTCCCTGACAGAAAACTTGTTTCATCTTATTTTCCAGCTTGGAGATTGGATTAAATAAGGGAGCTGACAGGACTCAGAGCTGTTATTCAAAGGCGTAGTGTATTTTTTCAGCTGCCCTTTCTGCACTGCTGGGTCTGTACTTTGGATATAATGGCCTGGCACACAGGCCTTCCTAACTAACTGGAAGAGAGCACACACATTCACTTGACTGGTGGTTGTTACCAAAGACATGGTAACATCATGACTAGTCCATCATGACTAGTATGTCCCAGGACCCATTATATAATTTTTGATAGCATTAAGAAAGCCATATCTAACACATCTCTCAATTACTCAGGCAGTCTTGCCACTGCATAACAGAGCTGGTTGGACAGGGTCTGTCTCAGTCTGGAAGTTACTCAATGAAGAGATTTTCAAGAATTTGAAAATTTAACTTTTAAAACTTTCCCACTCTCAAAAGCAGCAGGCTGTAGAATTACTTCATTTTGTTCTGGAATTATCATCTCAATCCTTTAAAAACTATAACATTATCTACATAACGCCAGTCAGACAAACCCATCTAAGAAATTTCTGCTTGAGTTCGGGAAATAATGGAAAAACTCTCCATATGAATATTTCAGGTTGTAATGTAGGTGTGTGTGTATATATGTGAACAATTGCATATCATTTCCCTTGCTCTGTGAAAATAATGAAGAAAGATTATTAGATAATATTATGCTGTTGGCCACAGAGCTGTTGTTCTCGGCACAGAAGGGCTGACTTTACATTCTGCCTGTTTGCAAACCTGACACATTAACGACAGGCACAGAACTGAGGAGCACAGGAGAAATGGAAAAGCTATTCAAGAAGCTGGCAGTTGACAACGGGATCTTGAAAAATTATTTCCTTGGATTCAACTAAATTTCTTCTTCCCCCTTTCCAGACAGGGCTCTGCTAGGAGACAGTTTGGTTCACTGTGGTTGAACCAGCTGTCGAAATCCCAGCCAGCTCCTGAGTAAGCAAAAAACTAATCAGAAGCTGCCTTCAGCAAGCTTTGTTTTCCCGAGCAGTGCTGTCTCCTCGCTCAGGCAGTGTGCTGCCCACCACCAAATCAACAGGCATCTTACTCCTGCCTGGCTCTTGAGCAGCTGCCTCTGCCTCCTGGCCCCCTGCCACTCCCTGTGACCCCATGCGGTCCTCTCAAACCATCTACAGCAGTAAAAGGTTTCCTATGCTCTGATGGCTTAGACTCTAGACTTCTGCCAGCACAACACTGTTGGTCTAGGACCAGGGGTACTGGCAGCCCTGACAAACAGAACATCTTTCACCAAGGGGGCAAGAGTCAGAGCCTTCCTGATGGGCTGTTCATGGCCTGGGCAAGGAGGTGCTGAGGGAAGCAGAGCTTACTGAAGGCAGTTTCTGATTAGTTTATAACTCATACAGGAGTTGTATGAGTTATAAACTAATCAGTTTATAACTCATACAGGAGTTGGCTGGGATTTCAACTGTAGGTTACAAATCCTATTCAAAGACCTCAATTCTGTCTGCTCCTTCACCTTAGAGTTAAGTGCATCTGTGCACCTCAAAAACCAGAGCCAGCCCTGGATTCAAAGGCTGAGACAGAATTCAAGCTCTGAAAGTACAGGCTGTCATTCCTATTATTATTTTTTGGCAATCCCATTCCCATGTCCTCACCTTTAACCAAATGGAGGATACTCCAAGGCAGCAGTACGACACTGCATGCCCCCTCTCCATGCCATTTCTGGCAGGGCCAATCTGCATTCAAAGGGGCTGGTGTTTCCCTGCTTGGCTACCCACCCTTGCTCACTGTGGGACACTGGGTGTCCCCACCATGGCTGAATGGGGCACTGCAAAGCCACCCCACCTCTTCCAGCTGCACAGAGCCAAGCTCAAGCTTGCCCTGCCATATGGTTCTGCTGCTAATTGTGTGGAAACTGCAGAGATGCTAAGGCTGGACACACAGATTTAGCAGTTTAAACATAAGCCTAGCTAGGGCTTGCACTGAAGTCCTGTCCCTGATGTAGCACCAGACACGAGGACACCTGTGGCTGTGCACCTGGGGTCCTCCTGCTGCAGAGGTGGCCCCAGCTGGATCTCTCCAGTGGTCCTTCTTACTCACATGTGCTGCAAACTCTTCTCCAATGATTAGATAAGAGGAATTGCCCATTGACTTTCATTTCAGTTGTTCGTGACTGGATCAAAGGATGTATGCTCTCTTTGCTTCAATTATGCAGTTTGGGCTAATGTAGTCCAGATGGCTATTTCATCTCAGCCTTTATATTTATTCATGGCCTTTCTGTTTAACTTTCCTAAAACAAATACTCACTTGTAGGCATATATTAATTCAGGGAAAAGAACTGCCTCAATCAATATGTTGAGGTTAAGTTTCTATACCACAATAGGTCCTATGTACACAATTTCTATTTTTATTACTCCACTCCTAGCCTCAGATATATGAGCAATTTCTTTAACGTGTTTACTTTGGCTTTTTTACAAATTTACACAAACTACGTCTTCTCTGATTATTAGATTTACAATATGCAGATATTCTTTCACTGACCTTTTAGCTAAACCCTTCTGCAAACTTTGGCTGAATATTAATAAATTTACAAAAATGCCAAGGAGCCTAAATGTTTGCCAACATGATATTGCACCATCTCTGCAGCATGCCTGTCCAGCAGAGGATAAAATTTGTTGTTGAATTTATGTGCCATCTTGCAACCAATGTGTGAACACAGAGTGGAAAAGCTCAAGACCAACGAGACAAAAAGTTTTCAGTTAGCATTTACATAATCTTTTAAACTAGATCTGCAGGTTGGGTGTTGAGAGTTGGCTCAGAGGCTGCTGGTGGAGAGCTGAAGGCAGTGCCTGGCAGGAGGTGTCCAAGGAGGGGCAGTGCCTGGCTCTGGGCTCAGCAGGAGGGAGGGAACATGGGAAGCCTCAGTTTAATCTGTCTGGTATTTGATTTGGGCTTTTGGTCCTCGTCTGGATAACAGGGTTGTGATTTCTCTTGGTACACTTACAATAAGAACATCTGAAACTCAGCTGCAGCCAGGCAAGATTTTCATTTTGGGTAATCTGATTTTAGCTTAGGTGATTAGCTGCTCCATAGTCAATGGCCAAATCTAATTGTCATTGTAGTTTTTATTCTGAAGCCAACAAGTGTTAATGTCTTACAAGCTGGGCTTTACTTCACACCTTCTCTTCTTAAGCAACCTCTCCCAAAGCGTTGCAAACAGAGGAGGTGATTTCAGACCCAAGCATGAGGAAAAGGGTAGCAATCACTTATCAATTTTTCTGTTGTGTGAAATGGACACAGTGGGCCACCTTTTAACATTCTGAGTATTAATATTGGCCTGAAAATCTTATATATATTTTTATATTTAGCATTCATAATATAAACATACTTTTCATTACATAGGTTAGATGAAGTTTTCCAGAACCAGATCCTCTTCAGTATTTTACATCCATATTTTTATGTGTCAGTGATTGCTCCAGAAATCAGTGTGAAACTGGGACAAGACAGCTCTCCAAGTTTCATTAAAGATTATTTTTTTGGTTTGTAAAACAGTTTCCTTCAAAGTTTGTTTGATTTAGAATAATAATTTTTAAAAAAGGATGGTGAAACAATTTATGACAGCTCTTCCCTTCCCTGCCAACCCTGTTAAATTAAAAAGACATTTAGAAATGTAGAGTTAACCTAAGTACAAATCCTAAGCCTGAGAAGAAAAGGAGACAGCAACGATTGTATGAGGACAAGTTTTCTGTAATGCCATTTTCCTTTTGGTTGGATTTCTACACCAAATGAAACTGAGGTTTAGATCCATAACCTGGCTGCTCTCAGAGAAATTATTCCAATCTTTTCTAAGGCTAAAAGCAGAAAAAAATGCTGTGATGGCTTGGGAAGGCAGAAGAAAGACAGCGTGCTCTGCTGTGTGTGGAGGGATAGCATTGCTAACACCACGTGTATGTAAAACAACATGCACACTGTGAAGCTCGCCAGCCTTCAGACTTTCTACCCGTGGAGCTCCCTGGGGGAACCATGAAAAACCAGTTAAAAGTCCCTCCCAGTCCATGCTTCAGAGAAAACCCCAAAAACTCCCACCTGAGGCTCTAAACGCTTTCCCATGAAATTACCTCAGACTAATTGGAAAAGCAAGAACAGTATGCAATCGCCCTCAATGCAGTGATATTTAGAGTTTGCCTGCACAAATTAAAGTCCACCCATGTGTCAACATTTCTCCAGCTTCTAGGCCACTGGCATGCTTGCTTATCCCCAGCTCTGAGCAGCTCCAGCTGCTGTGGGTGAGCACACCCTGCCTGTGGCTGCTGGGATGGATGGAGGCAGGACCTGCTCGGCTGGGTGCCCTCCACACCAGCCTGTGGAAGTCTCCAGGTACCTTACCTGCTCCTGCCCCACTGCTAGCCAGCCTGAGTGAGGGGTCTTGTTTGTATCCAATGGTGTGGGTAAGACTGGGGCTGGCCTCAGGTGCTTCACCCAGGGCAATATTTTTCCTTTCAGTTGGGACCTGCTCTGCTTACTCCCATCAGTTCCCCATCAGAAACAGTTGCCACTGGGAAGGAATCATAAGCCTTGGTGGCAGCACCTGCACAGATGGCGTGGGAACAGGGAACAACAGGGAACAGAAGAGAGGATATGGGATTAAGAGATAGTCTTTCCAAGGTAGGATGGGGAGATTATTTCACTCCAAAGCCCCCAGTGGCAAAGGTCTCAGTGAAGAGCCTTGGCTAGAAATTCAAACTTCAGCTTGATTTGAGAGTCCCTGGGCAGTACAAATACTTTCAGTTACTGTCGATACAGGAAGAACTGTTAATTAGTCAGTTTTCTGGGTAAGTAATAAGTGTAAGTATTATGATAAAATCTGGCCACAAATTTGCTGGTTTGAATTTCTGCGTCTTAAATAATATCTTTGTGAACATGTTTTCTAGATCTCTTCCCAGACTTCCCCATGGCAGACTATCCAGTACTTTGGAGTGTAGGCTCACCCAGGGCCAGCAACATGGTAAGTCACACAGCAGTGCCTGCATTAACAGCTGAAATCTGCAGGAATTTGGATTGTAAGTATTTAATGCTTCCTGTGTTCCCCCCCTCCACCCCTGTAATGATCACACAGAATTTTCATAACCCTTTATGTGTTGAAAAGAGGAGCCAGGTTTCTTGCTGTTTACTGTTATGCATAATTTCTCAGATTCACTTTCCTTTATTGCTGTAGTTTTCTTTCCTCTGTTTTAACTCATCCCCACAGGCCATCTTTAGCCAGATTACTGACAACTGATTAAATCGGTGTTATAGGGATGGACTCTGAGAAGGTCTGATGGCACAGCATGAGCTGCCTGGAGCTGGCATCCAGTTGTAACATACCCCAAGTAACCATCCTTTTCTATTTATTTTTGTAGTCTTGAGTGATGATGCTCTTCTTCATAAACACATTGCTTTTGGACAGCAGGATGCTACACTGCTTTGAGAGTTCATTATTGTTTTAAATAAACACCACTGAAGTACCAGGTGGGAATTTAACTAAGGGCTGGAAATCAAGTCCTACACCCAGCTTGGACAGGCCAAGTCAAATCTTTTGAGTACCTCTTATGGAGAAAGATAGTGTGAGAGCTGTGCTATGGAGCCAGAAACAAAGCAGATCATTGTTGTTATCTTATTGCAAAAGCTCCATACCTTATTGGTGATTTCTCATGGGCAGCTCCTTGCAGTACTGACTCCTTCTTCCTCACAGCACAGCCAACAAACTCCATCTAACTTCTCAACCAGCCAACCTACTCTTTTACAATACCCATCCTAACTGGATCAAGCTGTGGCCTATTAAGGGCAGGCCTGTTCCTAATTCAGCTGTAACGCCCTAGGGGTGAGATTACCTTCATCACTATCTCTGTTCTCCTGCATTCCATCCATCCACTGATCGTTAGGAGCCTTGGGTAGGGTGCTGGGGAGAGGATTCTGCATGGGTCAGCTTGCACCTTAGGGCAGGCTGACTTCTTCTGGCAAGGTGCTGGCTGGGTGGAGTGATGCATGCGGCTGGCTCTGAATCAGTGGTGTTACCAGCTCTTCTGGCATGACATCACTACTCAGGAAGCATTAATTTTAGCAACAGAACGTGACTTTGTGTTGAGGGGAAGTACACAGAGAGCTTTGAGTAAAAAGCACATGACTACAAAGGAGTGTGATTACTTCCGAATTGTGAAATAAATGAAAGTGGCTTGTGCATTGTCTTTCTGTGGTGCTGCTTATATACAGCAGTTGTACAGCAGCACTTGAGTTTCCTTTCTGGAAATATGCTGCAGACCACAGGAAATTGCTAAGTTTAAATAAATGTGTTTATTAACTATATAGGAAAACTACCAAGTCTGGACCCCTTGTGATCACATTTCCCATTACATTCTGGTAACTGTTTGAAACTCAGGCAAAAATCCTGAAACTCCAAACAGTAAAAACCACATGGACTATCCCTGGCTTCAGCAGAACTGCATGAGGATGTGAAGAGGGACTGAAGTGATGCAGCCTTAGATATCTTGTCCAGTCTTTGCAGCATGGGATCTCAGATGGCTCTGACTACACAAAATTTTGGATTGCAGTTCTCCAATTTCCTTGCCATATTCTCAGTTCCCTTACCTTGAATGTAGACTAACTTTGCATTAAAGAGGTAATTGCTTCTGGCAAGCTGGAATGTGCTACTTGCCATGTGCCAGAAATTGCTACAGTCAATCATGCCTGCTTCTGAGATCCCGCCAGAATTACCTGACTCACCTTGGAAACACAGCAGGTAATGGCAGGATTGTATAAACTTAATACTGCCATGAGGGAAAAAATGAATCCCATGGAGGCAGGCACAAGAGGCTGCTGACCACAAGACATAATGGAAAAGCATCAGGCTGAAAAAAAGTTGGTTTAAGGCCATTTGATTCATTAGTTTCTTCTTTGGAAATGTAAAAGAAGTGGAGAAAACTACCTTAGAAATAGAAGACGACTTGACAATACCCATAATGAGGAATAAGGAGGAGCCTTTTGCCACCATAGTGTGGGCAATGACTGACTACACACCATCATCAAAGGTTAATATCTGAAAACAGTACTGGCCAGCATTTCTGTGACTGTACAACACTCCAAGATTGAGCTGTTTGATGCTGCCTGTCATCCTCTGGGAACACAGCTGGTACCATACAGATAGAAAAACCTATAGCTTCCTAGGAACTTGGGTCTCCCAGGCTGCTACAAAGCAGCGCAACAACTCATTGAAGTCCTTTACAAAAAGGATCAAGCTCCATCTTAAAACTCATCAGCTTATTTTGTCCCTACTGCCCGACTAAGAAGCTGACCCATGACCTCCATGTCCTTGGATGGTCAGGTAAGAATTTACAGAGAGCATCTGCTAAGGTCTCGCTTTGTTAAGCTGAAGGAGCCAGCCCCATGCATTCCTGTCTATTAAGAGGAGATTGGCACAGCCAGAAAGCCAGAGGGTGGAAATACTGTTCAGGAAGATTTTGAGGTGTTATTCCCTTCATTACCGAGGTCAAGGAGCTGTCTAGCTGTGCTGCTTCTGTCCTGACCAGCTATGCTGGTGACATGCCGGCTCTGTGCCATGCCATGAGCACATGGCCATGGAGGACAGAGCCGAGCCCTGTGTCGCTGAACCAGAGGGAGTGTCTGACTCTGCCAGGGAGGAAATGAGTCCGGGCCTTAAGGACAAGAGCGGCAGGTCACTCTTTCTTTGTGGAAGGAGCTTTGATGTACAGTTATGATGTCCAGTTATCTGTGTGTCCAACTAAGAAGCGAGGCCCGTGAGGGCTGTCCCGCGGAGGCTGCTGCACCGCCCAGAGGCGCAGCTCTGCGAGGGCTCAGCCCGGCTGGTGACACCAAACACCCTGCAAACCCCTCCTGAGCCAGCCTCTCCACCAACGTTTTAAAGAGCTGAATCTCAACATAAATTTTAAAGGGAGTTTGAACTACTTGCAATTTTATATTAAAGCTATGCTGTGCTTGAAGGCCCAAGCGTCCGTGAGGGTTGTTCAAACGCTATTTTTGCTTCTGCAAACAAAGGAACCCTTGATATCAAATGAGTGACTACATCTCCCAAGTATGCTGTCCTGTCTAAATATGGAGATATTAGTAAGCATTTGTTTTCATTATCCGAAAAAGGAGGAATTGCTATTTCAATTTTTTCTTTCCTGAATTTTAATAGAGAGAAGAAAAAAACTTCTGGATGAGGACATTTTTTTATTTTCCCAAGAAAAATTACTTCTGTGTATGCAACACTGGCCTTGCTTCTGCAACAAAAATATTCTTTCAGGATATTTTGATGATGTCCCCTGAGGGGACATCATCATCAGCTGTTTTCCAGATGTTTTAGCCTTTCTTAATCATACTCTTTCACTGGCCACTAGATCTGATTCAAAGCTGAAAAATGTCATTCCATCCGGCACAGCCCTTCTGAGTCCACAGGAAGTATTTGGGTTTTGCAGCTTATAAACATGAATTTAATTAAAAGATAAACTGAAATAAATCTATTTGCAGTGTAGTTATGCATATGACACACCATTGGCAGTCTAGACCTACCAGCATTGCCACTAGGTGATGCATGTGCAGTTTTTATCTCGTGTGTTTTATGCATCAGCTTGAACTTCATAACCCTGCCCTGGTAAATGCAGGGTGCCTTCCTATCCTTAATACTTGCTATCATCAGAAAATGCCCTGTCTTGCTACTCACCTCTCTGTCTAGGTCATTTATGAGTCTATGGATCAGCAGGTCCTAGCACAAATTGATAAAGTCTGTCCATGACTTTCTTCCATTGTAAAAAAGTTGTGGTTTGTTTCCTTTTTTGGAACCAAGCCTGCAGCGGCCTGAGGGCTCTGGTGAGGAGTATTGTCAGAAGTCACTGGTCAAGAAGCAAGGTGTTCTCATCCTTTGCATCTGCCAAGAGTCAGTGCACAGTGGTTTCCCCACCAGCTCCACGAGGCAGGGGTTGCCTTTATCCTAAACACCAAGCTTTGGCTTTTAGCCTGAAGATCCCCATCAAAAAGACTGTTTTTCCCATTGCTCCACTCTCTGTGTAGTCATTTAATCCTCCATGTAGTAGTGGCAAACTGCTCCTTAATCAAAACCGTACCCTCCGCATCCACTTCCTATTGAACAATAATAACAATAATAGTGACTTGTATATTTCTGCTCTTAAAAGTAAATTGGCTGTGTGTGTCTCAGGAAATTTTTGCAGGGCCTAGTTTTGGTGGGGGGGGGGAAGGGGGCAAGCTGTGAATGAGACCCCTGGGCTCTCCCTGGAAGCCTACCATGGAGATGACAGCCCTCTGTGTGACTGGAGTCATGTCTGCTACACACATGGCATCCTGATGCTTTCTTTGCTCCACCAACGGATGTAGTCTCCAAAGAGCAAAACAAAATGTAGGAGAATTTTTGAAAAACTAAGTTCTGACTATTTTTACAAAGAGGCTTGGGGATTTTTTTGAAAGGTAGTTTTTTTGAAGCTTGTGGATTTTTTGAAAAGTAGGTTTTTTCCATAATTTCTGTAAGAATTGAAACACTTTCTTTTCATTGTTCTTATATTGTTTCTCCAGGAATCTTTGTTTTAAGTCATGTTGAATTCAATTAATTTATCTTGTTTCCATTCATAAAGGACCAAGTTCTACAAACACCAGAACATAACAGAGCTTTGTGGGAAGTGGACATATCGAGGTTTGTATCCTCTCTTGCTCTTGTTAGCTTCCTAGAAACATATCAGCTGGTATTTTTTTCTTTCAGAGGGGAGGGAAAAAAAGAAAGATCCTGTTTATGTGGACGATGAAAATAAATATTTTTTTAATGGATGCCAAATGTTAGGCTAACAACCTTGAGAGTTTGATCACACCTCCTAAAAATGCAGATGAAGGGAAAACTCTGTAAAAAGTTTTTTCACATTTTACTCTGGATTTTCCCAGTTATCAGACTCCTGGGATTTGCATTTTTGGGAAGAATGACGTGGTGTGGCCCCTTGGCTTCACAGAGGCTGAGAGTGAGGTGTCTTTTTGCCAGACTGAAGACAAGACTTACCAGCTCCTTCCCACTTCCCTGGCCCCTGTGCTGGCTAGAGCACATCAGAGCAGAAGTCATGCTGAGGTCACAATGCCACCAGCATCCTAGGATGAGCCCAAGGCTTGTTACTTGCCTGTTCTGAGCACACACATTGTCATGGTTTCATCTACCGCAGCCATCCCATTGTTTCTCCAAATATGCCAGCCAGCTGGCAACTGGGATAGCAACATCTTATTTTTGTGTCCATGCCTCAGCATTTTGCTTCTGCACTGGGATTGTGACCCCATCCATCCTTGACCTGCCCATGACAGGCTCAGACAAGAGGAAAGAGTCCAAACATGAAAATTCTCAAAAATGTAATGCAGAATAATTTTTCTGCCATTTATTTTTTTCTGCTGTCTACCACTGCTGTGGGAGAAGTCCACAAAATGAACAGCAGAGTAGGTGGATTATGCAAGCCCACGGGCAGTTCCTGTTACCAATGACCCGTCTCCAGGGGCTACAGAGTCTCACAGAGTCGGAACGGGAAGTTTTTCTGATGTGGGAATGCTTGAAATTGTTCAGGCACCTGTTCACATACTTCCACAAGTCTCAGTTAAAGGGAGGAAGAGCCACAAAACAGGACAAAAACATATACATTGGAAAGTAAGAATTGGTGGGGTCTTTATTTTTTGCTTTTGTAAAGGAAGTGGATGCAGGTAAGTAAAGAAAGGAATGTGGATTCTAATTTCTTGGCATTTGATTATTCAAGGCAATAAGAGGTACAGCAAAAATCGAACCTGCAGTTTGGCAGAGTACAATACCATTATTCCATAGGAAGTAAAGACCATTTATTTCACTGCTCTCTCTTCCTGATTTGTGACTCCCATGTAAACTTTACACAGACTTCACAGAGCAAGACTGTGGCAGGTTCAAGGAGTAAGGTCTTTCCTGTACACTTAAATTAAAACAAACCTTGTATTTGCCAGAGGCAGCCTCCAGTTTGTTTTCATAAAAAGGAAATACAGTGAACTTCTTCATGGAGACTTCACTTATGATCTTCCTCATTTTATTTCCCCTTCATATTAAACTAGACCTTTTAGGCTCTGTTGTTGATGAAAGTTGATGATTCCACTTTGTACATGCAAAGCATAACAGAATGGTGTGAGATGAAAAGTAGAAGCTAGTCCAGAATAATACACGGAATAAAACAGCTTCAGCTGCAAATGCTGAACCGGTCAGGATGTGAAAATAATTTCTCTCCTTCAAGTTGGAACAAAAATGTAGCAGGAAATATAATGACCAGGTGGCATGAGCAAAAGTCCTGGGATCAGATGCTTTAAAAAAAAAAAGGAAATTGTTTAAGAATATGAAGTTTGTCTTAGGAGCTGTTGGAGGGCAGAGAGGAAGGAATCATTTGCTAATTGTGCCATACATTTCAGAGGTTCTCCTCATTTATTCTAGTCACATACATATGCACTCTTTTACTACGGAGAGCTATTTAGCCTGCAGAGAACCACATTTCAGTGTGCATGCATTGTAAAACCAATATAGGAAGAGTGTTTAGTGAGCAGCTAATGACTTCCTTAAAAGGATAATACAGTTAACAGTTGAGAGGATGTACAGCTAAATATGGCCCTTGTAAAACTTAGCAGATTCCATTAAAAAACAGACATGCAGGAAGTGTCTAGTTCCTATTAGAACTGATTGTACACAGTTGCATGGGAAGAAATAAATTTAGTGTACAGAATTTTACATCACATCCTTTGAAAGCATTGAAATTCTCTGGGGTCTGCAAATCTGTGCATCTGGTCCACATACACACACATACACACACAAACAATTAACTGGTGTGCGCTTACTTTAAAGGAAAATGTGCATCTAAAACTCAGTCTGCACATCCCAAAGTGAAGGGGAACATCCTACTGACTGCAGCAGGCCTGGGTTTGGCTACACCTGAACCTGTAAGTTAGGCTCTCCCCTTACAGATCCTACACTCACCCAGAGGGACTCCAGGTGCATGTAAAGGAGGGGGAAATCCATCCCGTAATTTCTGTGTTAGAAAAGCAATTCTATTTTCTTATTTGATATAATTTTCTATTTTGAAAATTAAAACGGAGCTAATGCTAAAATTTCCTTCATTGGATTAATCATTTATTATGAACAGCAATTATGGATTCAGTCTTACCCAAGTTAAATGATTTTATGAGACAGTGTTTATTTTCAAGGTATTTTCAAGGAAAAGATTTGGACCCAGAATCATTTAGCATTGAAAGGTCGCTGTTCACAGGAACCTGAAAAACCTTTCTCAACTGTATTTGAAATGATTTTTTAATTCATTTGCAAGGACATCAGAGAATCAATTTGCCTCTAGCCACAGTCCTGACGCCAGCAGGTAAAGCCGAGGAAATGACCCAGAGAGCATCAAGATAAATCTGTGATGAAATCCAAGGCAAAATTGCCTACCGGAAACCTAATGAACTGGACTCAGAGGACATTCATGGACGCAAACAAAGGCTTCTTCTTCCCCCAGAAAGACTCAATTTCCATTGACACTGTGAAGCTTCAAGCTTGTAGTGTGAGGATGCCCCAGCTGAGTTCAGGACCTTAGGAAGGAGTGAAGTTTCAGGCATTTGAACAGCAAGGGCTCTCTCTGGTTATTTGTGCTGCTCTGCAGACCACAGTGGGAACAAAACTCATGTAGGGCTTCCGTGCTCCATGCTGCCCTGTGGTCTGGCAACTGAGGAGTGATCAAGGAAAGAAATGTTTAAAACAAATAGTTATAGAATTGTTTATGTTGGAAAAGACCTCCAAGATCATTCAGTCCAACCACTAACCTGGCACTGCCAAGTGCACCATTAAACTAAATGGCACATCTACATGTCTTTTAAATACCTCTAAGGGTGGTGACTCCACCACTTCCCTGAGCACCCTCTTCCAATGCCTGACAACCCTTTTAGTGAAGATGTTTTTTTATAATATCCAATCTAAACATCCCCTGGCACAATTTGAAGCCATTTCCTCTTGTCATATAGATTATTACTTGAAAAAGGAGACTGACTCTCTTCTCACTACAAACTCCTTTCAGGCAGTTTTGGAGAGTGAAAAGGTCACCCCTGAGCCTCCTTTTTTCCAGGCTAAACAAGCCCAGCTCCCTCAACCGCTCCTCATAGGACTTGTGCTCCAGACCCTTCACCAGCTCCATTGCCCTTTTCTGGACACCAGTCTTTGTGTAGTGAGGGCCCCAAAACTGAACACTGAACTGAATTCAAGTCGTGGCCTCACCATTGCCGAGTCCCGGGGGACAATCCATGCCCTGGTCCTGCTGGCCACACTGTTTCTGATACAGGCCAGGATGCCATTGGCCTTCTCAACCACATGCTGGCTCACATCCAGCCACTGTCAACCAGCCCCTCCAGGTCCTTTCCAGTGGCCACTTTCCAGCCCCTCTGCCCCCAGCCTGTAGCACTGCCTGGGGTTCTTGTGACACAAGTGCAGGACTCATCGCTTCACCTTGTGAAACCTCACACAACTGGTCTAAGCCCAGCCTTGGCCTTCCTACCCTCCAGCAAATCAACACTTCCTCAGCCAAACATCCTTTAAACATCTTGCTGTGCAGCACCCCAAAATAATTCCCTTCCTCTGGTGCCCAATCCATCATAAACAGAGAAGTTGAAACTTCAGATTGATAGAAGAAAGCAGCCATTGAATCATGGAAAGAGTCCTTCTTTGGCAGGTTTGCTGGTAGCAAATATTTTTCATATTCCAAAGAGAATATGAAACCAGTGTGGCAGACACATCTGGGCTCTCAGTACCAGTAAGCAAGAGGGAAGGGAAGAGTATCACTATTGCAAAGAAGAAGGTTTAAAAATGAAGTGGACTTTTCACTGTGAGGCCTGGGTTTTATGTTGTATTTTTATTACTACAGATGGTTTTGTGGGGAATATGACGGCTATCCTGCTGTGATGGATGAATTACATTCAATTTAGAAGCCTGAATTTCCAGTCTACAGGTTTTGAAGAAAATAAATAAACAGTTTCACACAGGAAATGAGCAGAAGTCTCTCTGTGGCACACAGCATTTGCACACCATTGATTTGTGATCTGATATTTAATGGACTACCTTGTGTTGAGAATATGCCACTGACATAACAAACAGCACCAACAACCAGCTTCCTCAGAGTGCAGGCAAAATGAGTGCAGTCCCCAGCATCTCTTGTCATCCCTTTTCCAACTCTGCTGAAGTGCTTGCGCTAACAGCTACTCTACCTGTGGTTTTTGCATAGTTTATCCAGAACTGGAGTGATAAATTTATGTTTTCACACACATAAAAATATAAACAGTTGTAGATGTGCCACTTGGAAACCTCTTTTAGCAACAGAATTATCACGGATGTGCTTCTGCTGAGTCTGAGTCAAAACCACTTAACAAGGGCTAACATGAGCTGCTGCACAAGACAGTGACTGGCTCTGGTGGGCCTTTTGTAGGGCTGTCACCAACCTCTCCCTTGCCCTTCCCAGCCTAAACAAAAGGTCACTGATATTATTATTAGCACAACAGAAATCCTAGCACACATTAAAAAAACCTCAGAATTTGCCATATTTGCCCAAGATGTCAGAGAAGGCTCAAGAGTTTCATGCCTCCTCCTTCCCAGAATCAGTACTTCTGGTGGGATTTAGGCTCCTGGTCCAAGGGCAGACAGCAGCTGCCCAGTCTCATGACCTGTGAGGTTTACCTGGTGTCATTGTGGAGGGAGTTCATTAGCTCAATTCTGTAATGTCACCATCACTTCATGTTCTTAGGCATAGATCGCCAGCAGCCACGACTGTCTCAGGAGCATTTCCTGCCCCTCCTGCAGTCTGGAGAAGTTGAAACTTTGCACACCAAGGTGACATCCTCATACAGCCTGAGCAGGCACCCCCAATCACTTTCTCCACTTTCTGTGAAGGAGATGTTAGTCTTCTTTCCAGTTGATGGTTTGTTCACCCTGTTTCATCATTCTCTGTTGTTCCAAAGCAGCAGCCCTCTGGGTAGGGACATGGCAGACACCCTCCAGGCTTATGATATTCTCTTTACAATACCCTTAATGGGCAGAGAACCTGTAGTGTCCCTTTTGTTTCATATGGCTCCATGTAGGGCAATGTGGCTTTTCCCAGCTGGTACCACTTGGTGCTGCTTCTGTGTGCAACCCCAGTTCAGGCTCCCCAGATTTTCTGCCTGATGCCTCTTTTCCAACAGAGCCATAACAGTGCCTGCTCCAGCTCAGGACGAAGTCAGCCTGTCCTCTGTCAGGTTAATCCTGCACTGAGTGTCACTTCCTTTGAGTGTCACACATTAAACAGGATGCTTCCAGCTCCCTATTACAAATGTCTTCAAGACACAAGTTCTCTCAGTAAAGATGATCAGAAAAAGATGGAAGAGGAAGAGTTTATAGCAAGAAGTGAAGAAAGAAATTACAACTGTCAGATCTGAAGTTACTTTTTCTCACAGTCATTTTAATACACTAACACAGTGGCATGTTGAGTCTCATGAAGTTACACCACCATACTTTGCATTAACACCACTAAGAGCCATCAGTCACTATCTTCTCTGCAGCAGTGTTTGATCTGGGAGAGTCAGTCCTTCAGGAGATGCTCATGTTACCTGCTGGCAGCAGGAGCTGAGGGAAGCAGTTCTATGATAATATCATCTTAAGATCACACCCTTGGGCTGGCTGCCCGAATGATCCTTAAACAATATGTAGGATGACCCAAGTGATACAATCCTGTGGAAATCTCAAGCATATCTTCAGGGAAAGGGTGTTTTCCAGCAGCCTCAGCAGAAAGCATGGGTGCCTGTCCTCATCCCAGACTAATCCACTAAGATTGTCCCAGTTCCCTCCCACAATCTGCATGGACACTGAGGCCAACACCTCTTTAGCAAGTCACCACTGTTATCAGGCTTCTTTTATCTATGGGGATGGACTACACCATCTCAGTTAGAGATTTGGGAAAGCTGTGAGACCACAAAGCACCTTCTAGAGGGCTGTTATCTAAGAAAGGCTCCATCAACAAAAGGAAGAGCTAGGTGTCAGCCAGGTTCAGGACACCTATGCTGGTCTGGAAAGCAGTAGGTAGGCAGGCCTGGAGGTCACACAGAGGGCTAATGACCTTGTCTGTTACTTCCCTCCATCTGTAGCCAGCCAGAGTGGACGAAGGTGTTGATTAAACCAGTTATTGCAGAGCTGACATAAAGCAAACAGCCCAGCTGAGAGCTCATTACCTGTAAAAGAGGATGAGGAGTGGAAAGTGCTGGCCACTGGTGGTGGTGTGCAGCCCAGGCTCCAGGGCTTGGCCAAGGAGAGCCTAGCACTGAACCAGAGCCTTGCTCAGTTCCCTGATGAGCTCTGGGAGGAGAAGGACAGGAACAATGTCTGAGGTCTCTCCCAGAGTGTCCAAGACCCAGACCAACATGCCACCATGAGCCTCCACTGGGAGTTTAGTTGAGGAGGAGGTTGGAAATGTAGCACAGCAACAGACCTTCACTGATGACAGGTACGCCGACTGTGCATTTGTGATCTTCTGTCTTCATCTGACTTTTATACTCACTCTCTCTTGCTTGCAATCTCTCAGTAAAGCCAACCTTTGTTAGAGTAGGAATATAAACACTTATTTTTATGCATATAAATTCAAGGCCAAATAATGCAGCCATAAAACTGGAGACAACCAGGACATACCATGACAAGCAAAGAGATGGGACTCCCATTCAACTCGTCAGAGGCCACTGGCCCCTGAGAGGTCTAACCAAGGGGAAGCCACCCTGCCAGCCACCCTGAGACATGCCCCAGCACAGCAACAGCATCAGTGATGCCTTAAATTTTTAGCTTCTGTATTTTTCAAATCCTGTACTGCATTAGCATCTAACTCTGAACTCCATATAGAATGTTAGTAAGCTCTCTTCACATTTTGGTCAGACAAAAAAATCCTTCCAGGCCTGAGAACCAAGGTCACCCTCACAGCCTCAGGCCCCAAAAAGTATAAACAAAAGTGAATTGGGGAGGAGCAAACTGGGGAATATGACTTCATTACCTGAAGCTGCAATTGGACAATTAACCCCTGATACGCAAACAGGCCAAACTTATATCTGTATGAGAAACTCGTGGCCATCGTCCACTTTGGGTGTAGTCTCTGCAAGGCTTTTGCACTGCCCAAGGCCTTCAATAAGGCTTGTTGAAGGCTTCAGTAAATACCTGCTTTAACTCTGTCTAGCCTCTGTTCTAGGTAGCCATTCCAAGGCATCATCAGCCCTCACCCCAAGGTGGCTGGGGCTCCTCTCTCTGCAGAGCCACCTGGCCTCAGCGTCCTCAGCCCCGTGTGCCCGACCCCTAGCACCTGAGTGTGGACAGCAGGAGCAGGGCTTCACCTCCAAACTCAGAGCACAGCCACACACCAGGGTTTGAGGGTCTTTCGCAGGGAACCACTAACAGATTCCTCCAAGCGAAAAACAGCTGCAGCAACGCAAACCAGGGGCAGATCAGCCACTCAGGTGCTGCAGCAGCACCTCCACAGCCTGTCACCCACACCGAGTTCCCAGGGAGCACGTCAGGGGCAGCCCTGACTAATTACTGGTGACATCCATGTTTAACAGGGGTCAAGCCCTGGCCCTGTCTTTCTCAAAACAGGCTTAATAATTATTAACTTCAGGCTGGATGAGGAAAAAACAAATGTTAACTAATAACCTTGATTTCCTAGCACACACAAACCATGGGGTTTTTTAAAACATTGGCTCTGCTTGACTTTCTATTTGCCTGGGAAATACTGATCTGATGCTTTACCCCTTTCCTGCAGTTTTATACCATGGGAAGGACAGAAAATCTGGCGTGATGAATCAACAACACAAAATGAAGTCACAGATGTGCCCGAGTCAGTGGATATGTGGCTGGACTGACAGAACCAGGACTTCCTTTCTTCTTCTTACTTTATGAATTAATTTGCCTTCATGTCAGCTCACTTGTAACTAAACTGGCTTCTTTTCATCCTATTTTTTTAATGATGCACTCTGCAGCACTTTGTATAGCCTGAGGTACTCAAATGGCATGTAAGTGGATATTGCCCTGCAAGCTGCACTCTGCCATACAATTGCTATCGTCTCTTAAGTCTTAAAAGCCTGGGCATGATGTGAATTACAGGCTTTTCTTCTCCATGTGGGGCTCACAGCTTATAGTCCTAAATTACATTTTGTCAGCCTGTTGTCAAAGCAAGATAGAAGACCATTAAAAATAAGCTGCAGTTATGTAAGTGTTCATGAGTGTCTAAATATTAATGTCAGGATTTTGCATAATGGCAATGCTCTAAATAATCCTTTTTAGCCTTTGTAGTTTAATCTTTGTTCATATTTTATCCATTAGTTACCTCTAAATAGCATGGTTCTTTTGATAAGTAAGAGGCTGTGAATAACATTTACTGAAATTTCAACATTCTTGTCTTTCACTGCCACAATCGGAAATGACTCTGTTCCTGGGGCCGCTCGCGCTTTCGTATTTTAATTGCAAATGAACTATACAACCTGCAGCAGTTTAAACAAAACCCAAACACAAACCAAAATAAATTTTTAAAAAAGCATACATTCCAGTGCCCATCTCCTGCTTCTACCATCTGCAGAGGTATTTGAAATCTCTATGAGCATTTAATTCACATCACTTTTCTACACAATGTTATTTACCGACTTCCAAAGCTTACCAATAAAATGCTGCCTCCATGACAAGGTGATAAGATTAAATGATAAAAGGCAGGAATTGAAAGTTTCATATTGTGCCTTACTAGCTGCCAGTGTCCCCATCTGATTTGTCGTGTCAGTGAATTGCTGGCCTTGACTGGAGGCCCCAACAGTGAGCCCCATGGATGCTGTAGCATGCAGCTGTGGAAAAGGAGGGTTTAATTTATTTTATGTGATCTTGATATGGTACAATCCTACCCTACCAGGGATTAATCTAGAAAAAAAACTCAAAGACCAATACCTGGATGCAAGAGGTGTAATGTATTGTGAGCATCGTTTTGGTCAGGGAAAAATAAATTCTATAAATACCTTAGCCCTCCCTTCTCAACAAATGCAATGAGAATCTCATTGCTTCAGTATTTTGTAAACACAGCTATATCAGCTGGTTATAAAGTTTTGAAATTTGTTTCCAAAATGCTCAGTAATTCTTTTGTTAATTTATGTTTCACTTATCTAAATAAAAATAACCAAGAAAGAGGGATTGAAAAACTGCAAGAGGTCTTCCCGCAGGAGAACTGTTACCATTTAACTCACTCCATTACCATTGTTTAGGGCCATAGACTTTTTCATGTCCCTGCACTGTCAAAGGAATGCCACACATATAGCTGAGAAAAAAGAGGAATTCTTCACCATTAGATTTGTGGACAAGGTTATTTTCTAGGTTGAGACCGTCTCATGTCTGAAGATCCTCCTGTGCAAGCTTTGCCATTGTGGTTGGGTTCTAAGAAAGGTCTGACCTGGGTACAGGCTGTTGAGAAAGCACTAAACACTGGTGCTGAATGATTCATGGTATCACACTGGAGCCTGTTGCAGAAATAGCTACTGATAGCAGAGAGCATCCCAAACTCTGGCCTACAAAGCAAATTCTACAGTGTGAATCACTTGGGAGTGATTCTCTCTCCTTATTTCCAGATGCTAAATTACTTAAAATGTTGCTAAAAATATGACTATTGCCTAATATTACCCGTATAAGTAGTCTTTTTGCAATGTCATCTTGCAAGCTGTATGGGGAAATTCTCCCACCCATGTGACAAATATATTTGATAACTCTTCAGAATCTAAATATTCCACTGAAGGCATTCACTTTCCCTATTTTAAGCCCATTCTTCCTATTTTGGTCAAATGGAAGTGAGCATTAGATCATCAATGAGGTGAAAAGGAGCCCTAACCTGCACCTTTTGTTAGCTCTGGAATCTGCTGATATAGGGAGGACTTGCAGGAAGGATACACTTCCAAGCTTTGCTTTTCCACAGCCTCAAAATCCTGGGGCAGTGGAGCTGCTCAGCCCTCAGCATGAAGAGCTGTGGAGCAGTGAGAGGGACAGAGCACAGGGCAGTGCTGCCCAGACCCAAAATGTCTGGGACGACTATCACCCTTTCTTGGAAATACCCATGGGGAATAGCCAGTTTTATCTTATATCAGAGCTTCTGTTCACCATAATGACTCATAAATTCTCACTCGTATTACCCAGGTTCTCTAGAGCACTCCAGTGTCCTGAACAAAAGCAGAAATAATTAGGTACCACTGCAGTGGCTAAATATTATTTGATTCTGAACATCAACTTTAAGGAAATTGACAATAAAAATTCCTCTCTCTAACCTTTTTTGACAAGAATTTTGGACTGCTAACAGAGTTAGCAGTCAAATCAAGACAGCATTAAGAGATTCTACACAATAATGGGTAACACTAAACATTTCCTCAAACTTTGCAGAAGGATTGCAAAATTGTATATTTTTACAGTAGATGCTTACATACTGTTTGTACACATGGTATTTGCACAAGATTAATATATTTTTTCTGGTTTTGCATCCACACGTGTCGGTGTACGAATGCGGGTGTATATGCAGACACATGAGGTCAGTTGGTAAAAGCAATCTACATTTTTAGTATATTTTTTTAATACCCTGGGTACAATGGAATTTTCTTACTGACATTTTGACAATATTTGGACCACTGTTCATGCCTACAAAAATTCCATGGAAGTTGATGATGAGCAGTAGAAGAAATGTGTCTTTGCAGCAGAATGGCATTGTTTTCTGTCTGCTGTTCTCGCCTCTTCTCTTTAAAATACTTCAGCCATCTAATGCAGGATCAGAACTGACACTGTGTCATTTAAATTGCCAATTGCATAAAACAAGTCCTGAAGAGTGAATGGCTAAACAAAAAAAAAAAAAAAACAAAAAAACCCAAAAAAACCAAAAAAAAAAAAAAAAAACCCCAAAAAAAACCAAAAAAACCCAAAAAAACTAAAAAAAACCAACCAAACAAAAAATTGTGTGGTTGTGTTTGTGCACAACCCATATTCTACAAATCATGTGTTCGAGCAGTTCAATGTCTGCTTACAAAAAACAAGCACCTCTGCAGAAATGGGTAGGGGCTCACAAATAACCATCATCCAGGACAAAGGATTCACACACCCCCACAACCTATACTTTACTATCACGGAAAATTGGAATGCAGTACCTAGGAAATACTTCTAGGGGAGTCTGCAGAGACCTCTCTGTGCTACCTAATATTTTGAATGGGGTGAGGTGTTTGCAGTCATTTCCTATGAAGCTCTGATGTCACCCTGATGTGCTGCTGCCTTGGGGAGGAAGGCTGTGGGAGAGGGGATGGCCAGACACCATGCTGTCTAACACAGCTGGAAGTGGAGGAGGGATGATGCCCACTCCATGCTTTTGGATGTTTCCAGCACTGCGTAGGAGGTTTTACTGGGAAATGCTGGCAAAAGGTACCTGGAGACCTTTGTAGGAGGCACAGGGAGGCATGGAGAGGGAGGAGGGATGCAGGGAAGGTGCAGTGGTGTGGGCAGGAGAACAAGAGCCCAAGCGAGGGCTGAGGCACTGTACCCATACCCCAGGCCAAGGAAACTCCTCCCTTCCTTACCCCATGTCTTACACAGGGCCTGTAAAAAGCATACATGAAGACACATGGAGTAGTTCATATTTTCAGCAGCTGCTGCATGTGTGCCAGAAATAGGCTTTTAGTTCTTTTCTGGCTTCCAGTTCATGTAAACGAAATACAATAAAAGCAATTGCTGAGCAAAGGCAGAACTGGAGAGAGATGCAGAGGGCTGGGAGACTGTAAAAAATGAATGGCGTCCCTGCCCTGCTACCCAGCAAGAACCACTGCATGGTATCACTGGGATTCTACCAAGTACAATCACTGACCAGGCATCACATAGTTTCCACCTCTCTAAGCAAAAAAAAAAAAAAATTGCTATTTTCTCTTTTAAATCCTTGGAAACTCTACTAGAATAAACTCTCTAATCCTATTTGAACAAGTGTGATTTTATATTCTCAGTGTTTGCTTTGTGTTGCATTACAAACTCCCATAGCCACTCACTTGAAAAAATGCTTGTGGCTCAAATACATTGAATAGTCAAAACCAAACACTGTTTACTCGTCTGATTGAATTAAAAGCATTCTATTTAAAGTGTTTACAAAATCTTCTACATGTAATAGGGATTCACTGCAAAGCCAGAACAGCGCTTTTATGACTTTTAGAAATCGTTGCCGAGGAATCAGGGTAATTTGATTATGTTAGCAAGACTGTTTAAAAATTCAGGAAATTGGGACTCTGTTCAGTAAATGAAAATAGGTTGTAGGAAAGAGATACTTGGGCATTAAATGCTACAAGACGTTCTGCTGTAAATTGCCAGATGTTCCCATTCGGTGAACTGAACATAGTGAAACGTTTTGATTGAGAATTGCAGCATGCAGTACAGAGTCATCAAACCTCCCTCAGGCAATGGGATGAAACTCCTCGTACCCTGCTGGAATTATTCAGTGCAGTAAGTTCCTGTAAACTCTCAGCTCAGTCCATGGAAGTGGCTCACACACACACAACCAACTCAGGTCACATGTTTAGAGTTTGCTGCTTTGCATCTTACCATCCTATGCATATGCTTGACAATAGGTATTGGATCTGGACATCTGCTTCTCATTCAAAGTCTGCCTGTGTGCATGAGCCATTTAAAATTAAAATTCCTGTGAAGTAAGTCCTGAGGAATTTGACTTTGTATTGGATTTTTCACACTTGGGGTATGTAAAACTGCAGTGGATATCCATCAGCTGGTAGCAACCATACAGCAATGTTGCATAGGTAATTTTCAGGCAGAGAAACTACCGTGGCTCTGGATGGCTCTTTCATTTTGTTTAATGGTCAAAAGGAATTTTGGTGACATTGCTGAGGTTACACATTCACTCTTCTGTTTTTTAAGTAATGCCACAAGACTGATCCTTGACCTGGAGGGCGACACAGAGGCGACCTCCACCTCTGACCCCCCTTCCTCCAAAGAACCCGGCGGGGTGATGGGCAGAGCAGCAGCCTGCCCGCCCTGGGCTGCTCTGCCAGTGCCACCCTCAAGAACAGGATTGCCTGTGATTCTGAAGCAAATTTTACCACTTGCCTGCATTTCCATTTAGTAGCACATATACTGAGACCTCCCCAGCTGTTTGGCAAAGATGTATCACTGGAGGAACAACAGGAGGATTTTATGCAATAGGCACTGCTCAAGAAGATACCAATGCACTGAACCCACTGTGATTTTGGCCCCATTTCCTGCTGAGGTAATTACAGAGCTTCTGAAATTGCTCTGCTCCAGTGCGGTGTCTGAGGGGCAGCACCACAGGCAGAGGAGTATCCAACAGGAGAGGTGCAGTGGTTCAGCTGCTCTCTTGAACCTTACCTCACGGTCTGGTTCTGGTACCAGAGGGCAAGTGAGGACTATTTGACCTGGATCAACACTGAAATCCAGAAACCACTAAGAAAAGGTCATTCTTCCCTGAAATAGCTGTGGCCATGCCCGGGTCTCCCTTGAACCCTTCTTATTGGTGTCAGTTTCCA